TCCCTGGCCCGCAGACGCATGCGAGGCGACCTTATAGAGACATTCAAGATTGTCAAAGGGCTTTCGGGTCTAAGGTTCCCAAACGTATTCCCGTTTGTTCCTGCCAGGGGCACGAGGGGCCATCAACTCAGATTGGAAAGAAGTCCTTGTAGACTAAATTTGCGAGCTAGGTTCTTCACAAACAGAGTTATACCACTGTGGAATAAACTACCTGAAGCAGTGGTTAACTGTGTTATTGTCGAATCTTTCAAGAGAAGGCTAGATGAATGCTGGGCAGTGGTATTCCCTGAAGTTGTGTGTTGAAAATTAATCGTTAGGCTTTACTTTCCGAACCACTGTAAGGGATCTGATACTGCACACTAACATTCTGCCTTTCAGAAACTACTATTGACTCGAAGTGCTGAAAGCCAACGAAACCGCCAGGAACAAAAAGAACTGGACGCGCGATTGGCAAGAGCCACAATTCGTCCTGGGAGAACTGAACTGAACTGAACTACTACATCCGAATCACACATCCTCGGACAGTCGCGGAACTACCAACCGTGCTGTGAGCCGGACAAACATACAGCTCCATCGGTCTTCCGACATGGTCCAGCCAGGATCAGGACAACTTGATCCGCCAGTTCCAACGACCTTTCCCACTTTGTTTAAATAAACCAAGAAACTAAGCTGGGATTTTTTGCGGGGTTTGCGACTTCGTATTTTTGACCTTGAGGCTGTTGGTGTGACTGTCGGTAAAACATCATGTCTAGCACCAGCTCCCGTCGGTCCACCCGCCGTCGTGGCGATCGTGAAAATACTTCCTCACTCGATAATTCCAACGCTGAAGATCGTGAGCCTCCAAGTAGTGCTGCAACTACGTCTACACGCTCTACAAGACGCCGTCGCCCTCCCAGCCATGCTGAAAACCCCAGTGAACCGATTAGCAACGTGGTATGTACTTAATTATTTCTCCTATATGTAGTTTTCTTGAATGTTTTAAATGTAAGTTACGCGCCGTAGGTTTTGGGATTTCCTAGCTGATTTTTCGGCGTAATCTATTTGGATGGTAAAATAAGCGGTCTGGTTGGTGATTTCAATTCAGTACACAACTTCCGCATTACGGTTTATTCGTCATACGAGTAGTTATTGGGCGTTTATATATCGCGTCAAATTTGTCGTTTATGGTGCTCTGTTCCTCCTGAAGTCCAATCTCAGGGGTCCCAAGAACCCACTAGATTGAGAAACTAGACAAATTGGCGTCTGAACGTCGGGCCATTGACCCCTGAACTAAACTGAACTTTTGGGAGTAAGTGTAAAACAGGTTACACCAATCGAGACGGCGTTTATTGAACCTAGCGCTAGTTTACCGACTATCTCATTAGTTGGAGCACTCTTCCACCGTGAAATGTAGGCTTGATACCTGCATAAGCTGTATTTACAAGTACCAAAGTTTGAATGATCGCTTCGTTGCTATACTGGGAAGAACAAGTAAAGGTTCGCTTCAGCGCATTTTTAGACCACGCTGAATTATTCTTGAAATATATGTGCATCACCTGCCCGCAAAGTAGCATGGTGTTAATGTAACGTCAACGATAACTGGGAGATTCTTCTGCAAAACGGAGTGAAATGAAGCGAAAGCAGTTGTAGTGCATGAAGATAACACGAACAACTCCAGTTTTTTCACCGCACACTTAGTAATTCTTTGTGTTTGGTTCCCAATCAATAGCTTAGTTCTATCGTTCAACGAAACCTTTAATCAAAAGCCTGCCTTGAACTACGCTACTTGTTCTAACATCTGGGTGAGAAAGCGATTAAAGGTAAACTGGATAGTGGTTTCGCTGATCGTCTGACCAGTGCGCCCCGATTGGCCTGAATGGTTTGTAAGTGTATCTATTCCACTGGTCAATTTGTTCATTATCAGAACGAACGAGGTTCGGAGTGTATAAGTGAGGTGCCATGCGGTACGCGGCGTGGGAATTCGTCATTATTGGAGTGATTCACCGGATCATTGTATAGGAAAATTGTCGAAAAAGGATAACTAAAATATCAAATATCTACCTTTTTCCATCTCGTTGACAAGGGAAGGAACTCATTGTAAGGTGCACAGGAATTATCGCGCTCCCGGTTTTTAAGAACCAGTCGAGATCACCTCATCATCATTCTGATTTCAGTTCAACCAAATTAATCTATGCTTCTGTGTGGTGTCCTGTGTGTAAATCAGTCCTATTATGGTGTTAATCTAACGTCGTTACTGTTACTTTCTTAAGGTCGCTGAACTGGTCACTCAGCGTATCTGCTTTGTTCCTATTCGTCGTAGCAAAGCTTCCGTTTGTCGTCACCTCGGTAGTCCTATTTTAGAGTGACTATTTAAATGTGCTATTGAAACACTTTGACTACCCCTTCACACAGTTAGTCAACTTCATGTCGTAGTTTTGTTACATGGTTTATCGTGTTTACGTTCTGCGTCTTGTGACTTCTGCACGCAAGCCCATCGACCCTACAGGTTTGATGATTCCGGATAGTGCGTTACCACCTGTAGCCCTACTTTTCTTTTGTACCGCCCGGGTTTCGGTTTAAACTCACTTGACATGTTTGCTAGGGTTTCATAATAATCTGCCACAACAGCGGTGTTGAAGAGGATTGCCAGTAGCATTGTGAACGTTTAGCCCTTTTTCTTATAGATTTAGTGGTTCGACATCCACTTCGTATTCCTATTGCTCAGCTGGTAGTGTTAAGACCAACCCCCAACGTCGACGGAGAGCATTTGGTAAACCCTGTTTTGTTTATAATATTGCCATTTAATCAATAACCTTAAATAAACAGTACCAACATGATACACCGCATAACGGGAGTGAAAAGATGATAGAAGCTGATAGATGGGACGGAGTTTTTACTCATGGTTCCACATTGTACTCTTCCAAGTTGTTCGTAGTTTGTATAGACTAACGGGTAGTTACGAGTTGAGGTGCAGTTGGATGAAAAAAGTGCAAAATATTACCTTGTCTCTGATTTTGGATTTAATGCGCTTTACCCGTAGTTTCCTCATCAGTTTTATGACGTTTCCAAATTTGCATGAAACGAATAGAACTCTTCGTCTTTATAGTCCCGCCAAGCAGATTCCCCCTCAAGCAGAGATAAATTGTGAGATCTTGTTGGAAAGTGAGCTAATGTCACGGTCGAACAACAATGCAAAGTTCATGTTTGCGCAGTCCACAAACATCAGAATGAAGTATTGCAGTTGATTTGCTCATTTGAGGCTTGCAGTTCATTTTTATTGGTGTAATTCATGCTTATTACATTTATTCAACACGTAACCAATTACAGAGAACTGGCAAATGTGCCACAACACCTGAACAGAAAGAAATTTGAAGAATGTGTTCATGGGTCGTGTGGGCATGTTACTTCCGGGTTGCCGTGGCCGAGGAAGGGGTAGAGCCTCGGGGTCCCGACCTAAAGCCTTTGGCTAGAAAGCCAGACCTGCTCACATGAGATTGAGTGATACAGGAACATGATTTCCTTGTATCTAAACCTGATTGCGTAAAATAGTGCCGTCATTTTCGGGACAATTTATCAAAAATTAATCCGGCTGCTGTGCCTTAAAATTAGTTGTACACATAAAAAGGGAAAGGTGACCGCGTAAAAGTGCTCAAATCTATCCTTCCTTGGCAAAGGCAGCCTAGTAGTACTCCGCCCACATGCAAATCATCGAACTGATTTCTTTTTGAAAGATTATTGCACCTGGATTTGTTTGGCTTAGTCTGTATCCGAGCCCTTAACTCGCCGATGTCTGACCCTCAAGGTAATAAGGCAATGTGTGCAAACCGCAATCCATTGGGGAGCAGTGCCCACTTCATCAGATTCGCCCTTCGGACGGAGTAAAACGTTCAAGGTGCACAGTATACCCCAATGCTCAATCGAGCCGGCCACTGCCACAACTAGAAAAGTGTATGTGCGGGGTTCGTACACCTGTCGGTTGGTTTGGAATCAGGGTTTTTAACGAAGAATATCAAAAGATGTACGGTGAAACATATGCAAGAAAATCTTGTTATCCCAGTGACCAACTTTTTTCTGTTCCACCCCACTTCGCTCTGTATTTGTACCCACCTGCCCCAACCGTTATTGTTATTAATGTTGTGACGTTGGCACCCAGTTACTGCATTGAGAATGTCACCTCGATTGGTGATGAAACGTTTGCAATACAATTGCCAAGCTCGGCGAACAACTGAACATCATATATATATATATAGTTTTTAACGGACTTCCCTGGATGAAATACCAGTGGTTCACCGACGCGGTTATAACCCCAGTTGTTGGCTTCTTGTTCTCTCACTTTGGTGATAAAACACCCCCGCCACAAGGTGGTGAGTAGGACTTTCTCCGTGGAAACTGTTTGAGACTCTTGGCTGTATAAGAGCATTTCGCGAGAGGAAAGTGACCAACTACAGAGAAAGACACTGACGCCGATCATATTGAGCCTTTAGGAGGCATGGCAAGTTTATTACAATTACTAAGCATTATTGCGTTTGTGGATCTATCCCTTTACCATGTTGCCCCGTGAGTCGCATTTGACACTCGTCCTAAAGAAAAAAGGCGGGATACTATAGATAATTCCTTTTTTCTTTGTTTCTAAGATCCTCCATGGATCATTAAAGCTAATTAATTCTCACAGGAGTAAGTCACTTTAGTAAATATTGTAAAGCCAAAGGAGAAACAGCAGCGTTGAAATGGTTTTATCCACCAGAAGTTGCACCGGTATATTTTGTGATTTCAGCATCCGTCGTCCTCAAAACAATACTTTGTACATCTTTGCATTTTTGTTTATCTAGGAAACCCGCTCTGGCCTTCGAACCTCGGAAGTTGAGCCGGGAAGTCCACTTTCATACAGCGACATGTCCAGTGTGACTGGCGGTGTCGGTGAAGCGATGAGCTCCATTCGCCCGGGGGTCAACGATGAAGCTGCTGTCCGTGCAGTACTGTCGCAGTCTGGACCCCTCGTTCCAGCCGCCGGAACTGGTGGAAGTATGGAAACCACCGAGGGTTCTGCACGAAGTGTACCTCAGGTAGGTTTCCACATATTCCCTTTCTGTTTAGACAAATGACCTGAAATCGACAATATATGTTATTACTGTTCTGTGCGGTAATTCTGTACACTCACAATGCTTGAGGCGATTTGGTTTGTTTATGTTTCTCGTGAGCCACTTCTTGTTTGATATCGTGAAGTTTTTTAGGGTGTACTGTTCTGTAACTCAGTTTTTCCGCTGCTTTTGGAATATTATTTCTACTTGGAAACTGCAATTGTGTAAACGGTATTCTGTTACAAAACTAGAAGCATCGAACACCCGTTTGTTCGCTAGTGCTATATTAAAGACTACGGATGTTTAACGCCGTGTTATATCGCATGCGGTTTGATGTCCTTCGCTCGTAGTTTTTTCTTTCAATCATCATCAAACCGGTTCCGATTCTCAATATTGTCTTGCGGAAAACCCTTCCAGTCATCCGGTGTGTAAAGTAGCAAATTAAGAAGGCATAAGTTCTACCAAGTTGAAGACACGGAGCATCAGGTTAGTTCATGCGTGGCGAAGGCAATCGGAGTGGACACTAACACGTTTCCGTTTACTACACTAGACTATATTGCACTGTTCAGCCAACCATAACGTCGCTTGAATTTCTCCATCCTCGTGCTTTCTGCGCAGACAGCAACGTTCAAGCACCATAACTGTCTTTATCTTCCATCCATAACTACCCTGTCTCCGCAACATACTGTATCATCAGTCAAACTGTTGTAGCATGTGCTCGATCTCTCGAAAAGCCGTATATTACGGCGGCACCAAAGATGTTAGAATGGGATATAACATCACCTAGGTATTTATCGATATTTCATTGAAGGTCATTCCGCCAAGGGGACATACCTGCCTATGTAGCAAAGCTTTTCACCTTTGTTCTGTTGCCTCCGGTTTAGAATGAAACCAAACATCCACGAACGGTACTTTTTCACGTTGGACATGTAAACGTACAAAATGCGATCGCACAAACGCTCAACCCATTGAGAGAAAACTTCTAATTCACTTACATCTTTATTCAACGGTGGTGGTGGCGCAGTGGTTTAATCGCTGTCACCGGTGTGCTCTGGACCCTGTGATCCGAGGTTCGAGTCCCGTCACCTAAATTCATTGGTAGACAGCTTTGCTGTCGTCCGGTTCAATACCACACTTAACCTATTGGGGCCTTTTGTGGTTTACCACTCCGATTCCCGGAGCTTGGGTTACCGGTTTCCATCTCTGAAAAACAGGTCCTCGTGATTATGGAGCTTTCCCCATCTGTTGTTCATCACTAAGGTGTTTTGAAAAATCGAATTTGTGTCTTCTGGGAGTAAATCAACCACTATCCTCGTACAAAGATGAGGTTGTTTCGGTAATCGTACTCATTCTAAAGTTGAAAACAACTGGCGAACAGAGTTAGGGTGGCAGATTAATTTTTCAAAGTCATCATCATCATTGCACAGCGAAATACAGTGAAGCTAACTTCGCTGATCGCTTCCAAACTCGCAACGCATACAAGGTTAGTGGTAAAATTGAAGGTGGACAGAGATTGGATCTATTTTGAGGGAGGAAGAAGAAGATGAGCCACTATGGTCAACACAGAATACGCAATCAAACTCTGCATATATGCCGTTTCAAGCATTCTGACTTGATAAGAAACGACAACAAGAAGGTCACTGCTCTCGGTTCGCTGCCATATCGTTCAATGTCTCCAACCAACCAGTTGTGGAGTATTTCGGACCCCAACCTGAAAGACGAGAGACACCTACTCTACCTAATGGCNCTCGTTTCCACGTCATCTGTTGACCTCCACGTGGTTTCCTCCAGCCCGGAGTAGCCATAGCGAATAAAGCGCAGTGCGCCAACGAAGCCTAGTAATCTGAATTCGGTGTGCTAGCAGGTTTATACCTGACAGACTCCCAAACACGACGGCTTATCTCCACGTTACTAATCCGTTCGCTTCATCCAACGTGGGTTAAACAGCGTAAACACCGATAATCGAAAACTTCTAGTCGACGTATATCTTCTACTCACAAATTCAGGGTCTCACAAGCATAAAGCAGCACTGAACGAACGCTAGCACAATATACACGGCCTTTCAACTTCAGTGAAACGTCGCGTCTACGCCAAAGGTGTTTCAGTCCTGCTCGAGCCTTGGAAATGCGGTTATCTCCTTTGCTGCACTACCGTCATTGGTCATGCAACTACCTAA